CTTCTATTCTAATAACCGATTTCTTTTTTTTTTTTTTTTTTAGCTTACCGATCAGTTCGAAGGGCGATTCGTGATTTTGTCTTTGAGCTCAAATGGACTGGTCCTCTGTTGGAGGCAATTAGAGGTAATACTTTTGATGTTGAAACAAGGTCTGGCTTAAACTGATTTGGTGACTATGGTGATTAGTTTGTGGCATCGTTTCTCTTTAGTTATGATGCCCATGCGGATTCCTTCCTTAAATAATGAACTTTATTTTTTTTTATAGGTTACTGGTGAAGTAAGACTTTGTCAAGCAATCTATGTTGATGAAATTATTGATGTTTTCATTGGATGCTCAATTGAGAGTGGTAAACAAAAGGCTGTACAACAAAAGGTTCAAAAATTTTAAAATCTTTAATTTTTTTGTACACCTTAATAATTTCATGCAAAGGAAAATTTTTTAAGAGATTTCTGAACACAATTTTGGGGATTTAATTTTTTGCGCAGCTGGTAGTGAGTTTCAGTGCACTAAATATTTCTAGGTTGACAGTCACATAAAACGGATATTTGCGGGTACTTTTACTGCTGCAACGTGTACATTTAATTCGTGTTTTTTTACTGTTACGTATGGGACCGATCTCGTTAATCCAAACGCAATTACTTTTTTAGCAGATTCTGACACTTCAGCAAAGGTTGTTATTTGACTGTTTCTTTAAAAGGCATTTATTTGCATCTAATTTTTAATTTTCGCACGGTTTGTTTTTATGGGCGCTCATTACATATGTAAATTGTGTATGTTAACTTACGGGTTCTCAGTGCTTTATTGGATTTTTCTGAACAAGAAGTAGATACAAAAAGTTAAAGCTTCCGGTGTTTTAGCAGTGGCTTATTGAAATTCGACGTTTGTCTGTAAATCTAAGGAAGGAATTGCCTCTTGTTGGTGCATTTTTCTTTTGGCAAAGATTGTTTGCAAAAATTAGGTATTCGTCTATTGATGACCGTATTACGATAAACGAGTAAGTTTTTTGTCTATTTGCTCATAAAAATCTTTTTCAAAATACCTTTCGGAGGCGAGAAGTTTAAGGAACTACTGTTTTTTGCAGTTTTTTTATAGCAGTGAGATATTGCCTGGGAAATTATAATGACGGTTTTTTAATCGAAGCTTTTTGAACAAGTATTAAAATATGCTACGTAATTTTGAACTTTTAGCATTGTGGATCATTTAATACCAGCAAAAAACAAGGAGGAGAGGAAGGAAATCGAGAAATCTCTGAAATCTGTTGAACCCTTCAATGAAAAGGTATATATCTGTTATATTATCAGCACTAAACACGCTCATTATGGGAAAGCTATTAGCAAAATGCAGCATTTTTGAGATTCCAGGTTCAAATCTGTTTGATTAATCTAGTAGAATTAGAAAAGAATCTGAAAGGAGTTTAAAATAAGCGTTGCTTTTACATCTTTTTCCTTTTCTTTGATAAGAATTTTTATTTCTTGACAAAGGTGAAGTATTTAGAAATCAATTCGTCCATCCGATATTAACGATGAATTTATCTTTAACTGTTACTGTGCCGTTCTCGGAAGGAACGAAGTCGTTGAAATTTACAATCGGGGGTAAGTTGGGTGGAGACGTACGAGTCCTAAATCAATTTTTTTCTTGAAACGGAGTGATATACGAATTTCAGGTTTGATGGGGAAAAATATGTCACTCCTGAACGTTTTGCAGCTTACCTGAAAAGGGAACATTACGACACAAGGTTAAATTTGATATTGAATCCTCCTCACAATGCTGAAAGCGCGGCAGCGTTGATTAAGGATCTAAGTCCAAAAGGTACTGAAAATAGTTGCTAGTTGGCAGGTACTATCTAGTTCTTACTGAGATTTCATTAAATATGGCGACTTGGAGATACAGCCGTTAAATGAACATCATTGTTTTTCAATGAAACATGTTTTTTAGAAAACTCACTGACTGTGAAGACGTATCTTCGGTTTTTGATCAGTCAGTATAATATCAGTATGCTAAGGGATCACTTGCTCTTGAAAGAAGACATGAGAAAACCGCTGTCACACTACTTTATATGGAGTTCACATAATACTTATTTGAAAGGTATTGAGCTGATGATAAGCTGAAGGCTTTCAGAAAAGTGACTATTGTAGTAAGAGAACAGTTGAGCTACCTTGAATTTACGCTTCATCTTTCGTTTTAAATTTTAGGCTACCAAGTGAATTCAAAAAGCTCTGTTGAGATGTACCGGTACGTGTTGTTGTTAGGTTGTCGATCGGTGGAGCTTGATTGTTGGGACGGCTCCAATGACGAGCCAATCGTTACTCACGGCCCATCTCAGCTGACACGTGTAACGCCCGTTTCTTTTAAAGTTCGTCGTTATTTTAGCTGCATGAACAGTACTACCGGGTGTCAAAGTAGCTCAGACCTGTTTAGGACTGTTTATCAGTCAAGTTCTGCTTCGTTATTTGAAAGGATATTTGGTTCCTTGTTTTATATATTTAAGAAAAAGTGCTGTACACAAATGAATAGGATTTTCGCTTTTATTTACAGGATGTTGTTAAAGCAATTGCCGAGACAGCGTTTATAACGTCAGAATTTCCTGTAATCTTATCTTTTGAAAACCACTGTAACCTCAAACAACAAAAGAAGATGGCTGCTTACTGTAGAGAAATTTTTGGTGATCTTTTGTTAACAGAGACCTTGGCCGATTATCCAGTAATTTTTGCATTTTTTCTTTTTTTTTTTTTTCAAATAAAAAAACAGGAGTTAGCAAAGTAAGAGTTTTAAGAACAAGATATTCACTATTGCCAACGTTTCGACAGAGTTTTTTGTTTTAGTTGAAGCCTGGCTATCCTTTACCATCACCATGTGTTCTCCGGCGAAAGATTTTAGTGAAAAATAAGAAGTTGGATCGGCGCGGCATTTGTGCTTCATTTAGACGCGCTAGAAGTGAGTTTTCGAAACGTTTTTTCAAGGTTTAAAGTTTTTAAGGGTTAAGGTTGGACCATTCGTGATCTGAAGCTTCTCTAAACTGTTGAGTTTTTTTCAGATTTATGCATAACGAAACAGGATTCTCTAGAATCTAGTGGGAGCGACAAAGGTAAACTTTGTTTTTCAATAAAGCCTACTGTTTGTTTGTTTTCTTTTTTTTTTTTTTTTTTGATTTTGGATTTGAAGGCTTGGTTTTTTCCTCAGATAACCAAGCACTGACCACACTTATTACTTCATGCCGACTTTTGGTTTTTCTTTTTACAGCATTTCCTGAAAGTGAATATGAGCAACGCCTGCCTACGTCAATGGAACCAAATGAATCGAGCGAGGAGAAAGGTGTAGTCTTGATGCAGTTATAATTACATAATTTCCTTTCCTCTGCAGGAGTTTATCATTGTTTTTTTTGCCAGCAGCTTTGGTTGCAACTTCTAAAGTTTTTTCAGATGTATCATTGTTACTTGAGCCAGAAGATATCTTAATTTCGAACGGCGGATCGACTGTTCCACCATCTCCTCAAGGTGATGAGAAGTTCGTTAACGGTTTTGCGAGTGCAGCTGAAACAGAAGTTATTGCGAGCGAGCTATCTGACTTGGTCAATTATATGCGTGCAATGGGTAAACTAAACTCGTTTGCTGATTGTGAAGGTCAGTATTTCTAATTCAATTGTTTATTTTCATTTGTTTACGCAAGCAGTTGCTAACCTTAGAGAGTAACCAAATATTCCATTTTTACATGTCACTTTTGTCGTCTTAGGTTTTCTGGAAAAGTCGAAAATGGAGGTGAACTTTTAGCCTTTGTACGTTTAAAAGTTATGAACACTAGTTGCTTTTCTCTTGCTTTCCCTCGTTTTCTTATGTCTCACTTTTTAGCAAAGCAGATGAGTTCTGAAATGTTCTCAATGACAGAAACTCGTGCTAATGAACTTGTGAAGCAGAACCCGGAACAGTTCGTAAATCATAACAAACGGCAGATTACTCGAGTTTACCCTAAAGGAAAGCGTGTCGATTCAAGCAACTTCTGGCCTATTGTGGGTTTTATTCGTCTTTGGAATGCACTCTTGAACGTAGTTCTCGAATCCGCTACGCACTTGACTGGATTTCACTTGCAAATAAATATTAAAAAGGTTTTTTTAGAAGGACTGCTATTCCTTCACGAGTCAGTAAGGCATTTCAGAAATTCTGGAACTGTGGCATACAGATGGCAGCCATGAATATGCAAACACCGGGTGTACAATATCAAATGAACAGTGCATTTTTCGAGCAAAATGGTCGCTCTGGCTACGTTTTAAAGCCAAATCCAATGCGTAAAGCTGATTCGAAATTCAATCCTTTCGAAGCAGGAAGCTTTGATCTCGTGGTGCCGGCATCTCTCTCCCTCACTGTCATTCTTAGATTTTTTTGGATTTTATATTTTAATTTACTGTTACATTTACGGCGGTAAACGGACACTGCTTAATCGTTTCTGAAGATTTAATGAGGATGTATAAGGTTGTATCTGTTGCAGGTGATCTCAGGCCAGATGCTATCTTTTGTATGCGACAAAAAACCTTCAACTTATGTTGAAGTAACATTCTATGGCCACTTTCGTGATATGTCAACGTTTTCAAAGCGGAAGTACCGCACAAGGACTGTTTCTGACAATGGAATCAACCCGTTATATTCTGACTCATTGTTTAAAGAAGAATTCAAATTTGAAAAAGTAATTTTTGCTGTTAGTAATTGGCATCGGATAAAAAAGCTTTTCAAAGTTATATTTGGGAAAATGATTAGTCATTTTCAGATTATTTTCCCAGCCTTAGCATCAATTCAGTTGGCCCTATATGAGGAGGGAGGGCGATTGATAGGGCAAAGTTTTTTGCAGGTATCTATTTTAAATACTGTATCAAACGTTTTGACGTTCAGTCTTGACCATCAATTGCTTAATGGTTCCATATATAATTTTCTGGTTATGTGATGACAGCAACTTTCTCCAAGTATTCTTTGGTTTATGGAAATAAACCATCTGTCGTAGTTTAGGTGCGCTCAATACAGCCTGGTTATCGTCACATTATCCTCCGGAACAATTTTTATAGACCAATTGGACCTGTAACTCTTTTCTGTTTGTTTCGAGTTCATGATTACGTGGATAAGAATTGTCAACGTTAGTTGCAAATTTTTTTTCAAATTTTGAGCTTTCGTTTTTGCGTACCACTTGAGGTGTAGTTAATAATGACCACTTTCAGAGCTAGTTGAAGCACTTCAGAATCCAATAGCTGCAGTCAAGAAGGTTCAAGGTCTGATGCAAGGTATAAAATCTGCTTTCCAAAAACGCATTTTTGAATGATTTTAAGGAGTTTTATTTTCATTTGGAGAAGTGTAGTAATGTCGTTTCTTATGTGTCGGCGTCCTCACTATTACTTTCTATCTTAGACTGCTCTTCCTAACTTTCAGCAGCTTCTGCAGTTTTGGAAAATCCAAAGGAAACGATTAAGATACGTGAGTCAATGTTGTCGGCTTTGGAGGAGAATGACGCACCAATAACAGCGGAAGTAATTCGAAGTGAGACGAGTGATGATCCAAATGAATTGAATTCAAGTTTTGACAAAGTAAGTTGAGAACTTTAAGTTAAAATACGAGGAGTTTGAATCTGAGCCAAAACTAAAACCAGATTTCTTCTGATTTCATTCTTTCTTCTCTCCAGTATGTTCGTTCTAGCTCGTGCGTACTTCGTTGGGGAGACCCTGTTTGTTTTTTTTAGAATTTTTTCTAGGTGAGTCTGATGGGTGACAGTACTAGAGACGTTTTAAACGGTGGAACTTTCCCAGAAGAGTTGCACCTTTTAAGTGCAGAAAAACGACAGCAACAATCTATGAACTGTATGTTGAATATATGTGAAAATTTTGTTGAGAGACGGGTTATATCGCTTTAGACAACTTAGTAACGTTTTTCAACAACAGAACAAATTGGACAAAAAAATTACAACATATCTTTTTATTAAAGAAGTGATTAGTTTTTTTTATCTTTTTCTAAAAAACTTTAGACTTTTAGGTCGTCTGAAAAAGAAATTTTACATCCAAGATATGAAGTTACCGTTTCCTATGCTGCAAGATTTTGTGTTAAACAAAAAGGTTCAAAAGCTGGAAAAGAATTTTCAAAAGAAGAATCCCTGTTGTGTTGAAAAGTTGGAAGATATTCCAGATAGGTAACTTAACGAGCATCTTTTATACTTCGTTTACTATCCGATTATGTGGTGATAGAGTCAAAAATGGGAGGATGGCTTTATGGCATTTCAAGCTTATCTATTTATCTGTTTTATTTATTACTTTCTCTGTATGACGTCACACAACAAGTTTTTTAAATTCGTTTTTCATTCAATACCGCTAGTTCCTCTACTGTTAGGAAGGACGAAAAATGATTATGGAAAGAGGAAATTGGAAAGAGTTATAGTTGGACAGGTTTTATTGTTAGTATGATCTTTATCTTTATCTGTTTATCGATCGTTTTTAGTTTGGCATCAACAAGGGTGGAGAAACTCGGGGACAACTTCTTGTCCGCTTTTCTTAAATATGAAAAAGAGGTGGGTGATAGTTTTATTGTCTTCCCTTTCGCGTGTTGAAGAATAAACTTTTAATTCCTGATATTATTTTTTTCTGGTCATTTGGTTCTCTGTTCTTTACTCGGGGTTTTTTTCAAATTTTAGAGGAGCGAGGCTATTATAGCTTTGGCAGATCAGAAGAAAAAGAAGTTGGTTAAGCTTGTCGACATGGCTCATAAAAGGTGATTGGACTTTTTTCTCCAGGTCATAAAATCTGAGCGTTCAACTGTAAATTTTTATTTAAAGAATACTGTAAGTGAAGTTTTTTCTTACAGCGAGTCGAAGCAGCTGATGAAGTTGAATCAGGAAAAACGCTCAGAGGAGGTTGCTGGATTGACAACAAAAACTACAGAGAAGTTTGTTTATTTTAACACACCTTGTTTCTTGTTGTTTATGTATTTTCCTGCCAACTTCTAAATTTTATTAAACTAAATTTGTTTTTCTCACTTAAGTTTTCGTGAAGTATCGGCTTCTTGTGGAACTTTGCTGTGCTTTTTATTCGTATTGGCGTTGCGTTTCTGCAGTAGTTAGTGAATTGTTGTCAACGTTTTAGGATTGAAGAACTGAGGGAGAAGTATGTGAAAATTGGAACTGAGGAACAAAGGCGTTTGAATCGTGTCAGAGAGGATCGGATTCGGGAGATAGACCAAAAGTTTGAACTTCTGAAGTTGGAGGTGAACGTCAACATGGAAACTGTAAGTACTTGTGTGAATAGATTATCACCAGCAAATGTGGCTTCTAAGCATATTGAAATTTTTATTTTTTTTTTTTGTAAGCACTTTTGGTTTTTTTGCGAGCTTTTCATCGTTGCCATAGTTCGTCACTTTTGCGCTTTCAGAGGGTCAGAAAAATGAACGCTTCACTGCTGAAAGGCTGCACAAAAACACTGGATTAACAGCACTCGTTTGCTCCAAAGATTGTGATCTTCTAGATGGGTATTTATTTATTTCCATTGCGTGTTGTAAAAATAATGAAGAGTTTGTTGCTTTGATTAATTCTTTTGCATTGTTTGTATGCAAACATTTTTATTTCTTCAGTATACTTGTTGAGATAAGCCTAAATTGGGAAGAGGGGTCATTTGCATTTATCGCTGGTAATTCTTCCTCATTTTTGGGATGCATTGGCTGGAATTACTCCGAGCAATTGATTTGTTCGACAGCATTAAAATATTTAGTTTTTGGCGTATCTATTTATTCCTCCCAAGAACCTGTTTGTTTTGGTTTTACAAACACCTTTTAAACTCGTTTGGGTCTCTCTGGCTAGTTAACAGAATAGGAATTTTTGGCGATGGAGGGGAGTTGTGAATAAACGGTATAGGACTTCCCGGCTGTCATGTTGTTTAAATCAAGACTTTTAGGAACTAAGTACGAATATATTAATATTGAATTGAACATGGCAGGACGACTTGTATTTGTTCTGTACTTTTTTTTTGTGCTTACATATTGTTTATGTTACTGCTCTTACGTTTTTCCGTTGATATTGTGCTACTATTTATACAAAGTTGTGCCAAAATAAAGTTTAAGAGTGTGGCGAAAAGTCACAATGAAGAGTTTGTATAAAAACATCACAGAGTATCTGAAGTCGTCTTCTTGGAGACCAATGAAGTTCTAAAAGGTGAACGTTGTAGGGCCTGTTTTGTGGCTGTTTTCTTGCGTGGTTTTACGGAGCATTTTTTTTGTGTGCGTTCTTTGGGGATCCCACGCTTTGGGAGTGTTTTTGGTGGCATGGAGGACGTGCTGTAAGCACTATTAGCTTACATGTGTTTATTGTTTAACCGCGTGGAGATATTGAGCAGGGTAGTTGCAGCCCTCGGTAATATTTCGTCGGTTATGGATATGGTGTTTTGCCGTCACTGGAAAGGTAGGTTTTCGCCATTGATTTCGCTTAACTACCAATTGGGGGTGAGGTACTGGTGTGCAAGTCATTTTAATGCTCAAAATTGAATAAAAGTTGGTAAGACAGTAGAGCTTACGACCTAAAATCGTTTAAGCAAGGAGTTATTGAATTATTGTTATTTACGGACCGCGATTACTGAAACTTTGACTGCGTGGGAATCCGGGGCTGCCCTCTGGCTTTCTGGGAGTTAATTAAATGAGCGAAAAGTGGGAGAGGAATATAGTCCTGATATTTTATTTGGTTATCTCATGCAACGAAAGCATTGACGGATAGATGAAGGTTATTAAACAAATGTACTGTTTCGCAGAAAGTCGGTTTGCCTAGTGAGAACCCTTTGATAAAAAATTGGTGTTGAGACTGTTATTGAAGATTTTTTTCCAAAATAGTCATTACGGCGTAAAAATAATGGTTTATCTACCTTTAATAGCACATTCTAGGACGATCCGAAATAGTGATTTGAGGCGTTGAGTCCGAGAGAATTTGTTTGCGTTCCACTGTATGTTTGAATCTTCCTTTGGTCTTGAGTGGAAACAGATTGTAAAATACCTTTTACTTCCCACTCACTGTGTTGCATCGACTTCGTCAGCGCTTTACGCTGTACCTCTACAGCAACTGTCTGAACGCAGATAAGAAATAGATTCAGCAGATTGCCCTTTATAGATTTGTCTTACGCATCTAACAAAAGGCCGAATACTTCAGTGGTTACTTTTTATATTTATACGCAGAAGTAGAAGTACTTGTTGAAACCTTGGGTACTCAGTGTTCTCGGACGTCACGTATTAACAACCTCCTCGCATTTAATAATTAGTAATGTTAAGCAATTTCTTCGTATGAAAATATTATGACTGTCCTCAAATATCAGTCTATCATGAGCTTACTTATAGATCATTAGTTTATTATGAGGAACTTTCTCTCTCTTTTGAAAAAAAAAAAAGAAAAACTGAAAGCGCAAATGAAATACCAAAGGAAAACAGAATCATAACAAAAATGGAAACAATGTAACAGTTGCAGTTCTAAGCGAAATCACAACTGCTAAAGAGTTAAAAAAAATCCAGCGCTATTAGCTGAAACTTGGGTGTTAATGGGACCTTTAAACTGATTTGTGAACCTTTGTTAACTGCAATGATACAGCGAAAAAGTGGAAAAAAAAAGGAAACAAGCAAAGATCGGAATTATTAAGCAAACATCAAGTAACAACTAAATATGCGAGATGAGCAATCAGTCTAAGAACTCAATGACACTTTAACTAAATATTGATGAAACAAAAGATGAGAAATTTAGGAGAGTAAAGAAAATGTGGTGTAAAAGAAAACTGGAACGACTTTGAGCACAGTTCGAAAAAGCAAGAACGAAAAAAAGGTTTATATCTTATATTTTGAGACAATCAAGCTACTGCACAGCAGGAGGTCTTATTTTTACTTTTTAAAATCTTCATTGTTGCAAAGAAAAAGTTGGTCTTAATGGTGATCGACAACGAGTATTCAACGTGAATTCCTTGACTTTGTCAACCGTAATAAACAGAAAATAATCTTGAGAGCAGGTAAACTGAACAAAGTGATAGATGACTAGATAAGTAAAATTAACTGAACTCTCGGGCAGATTATTGGTTTCAAGGGAGAAAAGCTGAACCTGTGAAAAAAAAAAGAAAGGAAACTTACTGAAATAAAAAAACAGGGATGACTTGCTTTTCTCCTGTTGTTTAACTGAACCGTTTAGAAGGGGAAAAAAGTTAACATACAATAAAGGCATAATGAAAGTTGAATGGTATTAACCTGTACAACTGTAGCAAACGTCATTTGAAGGCACAAAACTGAACGAAGAGAAAAAGATCAACTGAAAGTAAAGACAACTGAATTTTGGACCTATAAATAAATACCAAATTTAATAGAAATTTGTTTTCATTACAAAAGATACATGCATTCCGATCACCAGTTCCAACCATAATATTGGGAGTTTTGCGGGAGTGTTGCTGCAGCCTGTGGAAAGTAGCCACTGCCGGCAGGGAACGAATTGGATAACGTACCTGTGGTCGGATACGGGGAAACAAAATCTGTTGGGCATGGCTTACCGTCACGGACCAACATCTGCACCGGAATACGTCTAGCTGGAGTGAATGCAGCGGACGACGTAGGCACCGAATTGTGCAGTAAATTTGAGTTCAATCCTTTATCTTGCAATGTCTTTTTAGTCTTATACCTACAAATTTTTTTTTTTGTTATAGCTTTCGCTTGCATATAGGCTATTGGTGATCAGTGAAGAAAAGATCATAAATGTTTGAAAAAAGTTGCTTTTATGGCAGACTTCGCAAGGTTTATAGAAAGGTTTGCTTTTTTAACAATTTTTTACTATAACAATTTCAAAAACGTTGAGAAAGCACCTTGTAATAACGTTGGCTTCCCTGAAAGTTCTGTTGAACTTACTTATTTAGCCACGAAAATCACAGAATCAGTAAAGTAATCTGTAACAACCATTAAAACCGTAATACCTGTGATTCTGAAACCATATTTTGACTTGTGTGGGGGTTAGCCTGATCTGCATTGCAAGCTGTTCTCGTTCCGGTGCTGATAGGTAGCGCTGTGTACGGAATCGATGCTCAAGTTCATAGGTTTGTGCTTTTGTAAACAAAACTCGTCGCTTTCTTCGTTTCTTTTTGCTATCCCCGCCTTAAATTTCAAGTTGTCAAGTAACACTTCAGAGACTCAAAGTGTTGATACAAACATTAGTTTCAAATGTCGTTAATTTAAAGTTGTTGCATTAATAATAGTCGACAACAGCATATATTTTTGGATAGATTGTTGTACATAAAGCCGTTGTTCAACGTACTTTCTTCATCGTCTTCGTTTACTTCATCTTCTATTTCGTCTGTAGCTTCTTCATCATCCGCTTTTACTCTAAAAAAACTTTTTATTTAATAATTGTAACATTTTCATCTTTTTAGCTTTAATTCTTTTATAGGCTATTTTCATGAATCATATTGAACCAGTGAGTTTAGATTGACTTTTAAGACCAGCACCGATATCGTCAAGCATGGATGTATAAAATAACTTGCCCGTTTTTATTGATGCTTGTGTTTGCGCCTTCTTTTGGGGAAGTGCCTGGCAAAACTGTTTGGTTTAAGCTGGGATCATTCTCCCTTATGGGAGTAACAAATGGATCTGCCGGTGAAGCAAGTGCATAACCAAACCTGAATTATTCTTCAGAATTGTATTTTTACTTAGCGTTCGTGGGAGTTTGTCAAAAAATTCAGCTAAGCATTATTTTTGACAACATCTGTATAAAAGTTATTGATAGCTGCAGTGACAAAATTGAACAACAAAAGAAATTAGTTTTATGATTTATAATGGTACCCTGTTGGATTTGAAGGTGGTGGCATATAATGCTGATGAGAATGGGCCGTTAATGCTGTCTGGTCGTATATCGGATAAGCAGCTGGAGCTGTTTGGTGTGAATCCAAACCAAAAGGAGATGCATGATGATATCCTGCAATTTTTTTTGTCATAGTCACAGTATAAGCGTCGAGGTTCTCAAACATTTTGAGGTGGAAGTTTAAGACACGTTGCTGTATGTTAGCTGGGAACCAAATCAATCAATTCTAGGAGGAAGTAGATTTTTAGGCAAAAATAAATTATCTTTTCTTTTTTCTTCCCTACATTAACATCGATTGCTTTTTTACAGTATTCAGTAAACAGAAAAAAAGAAGCTTCAAAATATTGTAAATTTAAACCCAAAAAACATTAAAGGTAGATAAAAGCTGTTGACAGAACTTTTTTTTTGCAAAATATTTTTAAACAAAGACGTCAGACTAATTTGAGGCTGATGCTTCAGTAAAACAAATCTGTACATAAAGTATTTCGGAGGACTACTCATCAACCGATACTGTATTTCTAAACAATTTATCTGAATTGCTGTAACAACGAAAATAAGAAAAAAAGAGAAACGAAAACAATTTAGAGCTCATAAATTAGGATAAAAATAAATCATACTAAACAGTTTACGAACTGCGAAAAGAGAAAGACATTCTAGAACAACAGTGAGAGGAGGACTAGTTTAAGGTTATACTAGAAAAAATTTCAGCTATACAAAAAAAAGTCTGCAAAAGAACTTTAGTAAGTTATAGTTTAAAGTGAGGCTTCGATACAGATTAACAAAATTCCTTTTTAGCAATTAGGATTATAAAAATTCTAAACAATTGTTGACAAAGGTGTTGTCAAATTCATTTTTGATGGACTGATTCGTTAGAATTTGATCTTCATATTTAGTCAACTAATCGGACAACCAAAAGACCAATTTTTTTTGAGTACTTTTATTATAAACAGTTTTGGTTGTTGTTGAGTTCTGTTGTAAGCTAAGATAAAAGTTGTAGCAACAATATTGTAAACTATTTCTGTGCTGCTTTACTGCTATCTTTAGAGGTAATAGTAGATACTGTTTTCAACAGTGATGGCCAGTTATTTTCTTGTCTTTTGAACAAACAGCAAAAGTCCATCTGCGAAGGAAAATTTTGGTAACAAAAATTCTTTGTACCCGTCTTTTTTCTTTTTTTTTTTTTTCTGCTTTTTTTGGTTTTTTTTTTTTT